GAGAGAGATGGGAGAGAAATGATGAGGCGGGACGGTCAAGATTTTTCACAGCATCAGGTGAGTAGGTGACGGGGTCCCCCCGCTCCAATCCGTCGCAGCTGCCGGGGGGTGATCCCTATTGGCGCGAAACTGAACGGGGAGAGCGGTGCCGCCGCAAGGATAAAGAATTGGATTTCCGATAAAAAAATCAAGCAGCGCAACGCGTTGGGGACTTAGAACATCCCAATGATGGCCGTGCATACGGTTCTCGTCTGTACGCTGGTATTTGCCCGAACTCTTCATTACGAGGTACTCCGCAGTAGGCATGTTGAGTTATGCTTCGTATCTGTGTACGGCAAAGAAGACTGCGTTTTCCACGGCTGCCCTCTCGGACTCTTCTAGTGCCCTTTTGTCGGTCCAATGCGCTGGATAACGGACCATACATAGCACACGTGTAGGAAAGATTCCGAACAAAAGCAGGGGGGATCGACGTTGACGTTTCCGAAAACACCTCGAAAACCCCCGCCGGATCCGAACCTGAGTCCCCATCTGCACTGCTGCAGTCAGCCGCGGTTCGCGGCGTCTTAAACCCCCCCAAGGGTCCTCCTGTCTTAGTCTTTGCAATATTATTCAAGTTCCAATATCGTTCAATGTGCGACGACCCCTCATGTCGACCCGCGACGCAAAACAGCGCGTGCTATGACGAGGGTGTAAATAAGAGCAAAAACAGCAACAACTTAATCCATGCGGAGTCGGATGAGACCACCTACATTTCATCGCAGTTTGACAAGATCAGGTGGGTCCGCGCCGCTGAAATTGATTACTTCGCCTTACTTTTACCTCAGCCGCAGAAGGTTTTGTCAAAAATAAACAGCTTTAATAAAAAAAAAAAAAAAAACCACATCCATCAGGGAATGAATTCCAACACACGAGGTCAACAAAGTCCTACGAGACAATATTCGGAGACAACCGGTGCCGTCCGCGTCCATGTTGACATTTTCCAGACTTGTTCAGCCCACATCTAGTCCACATAGTCAGTCTACTGCAGAGTTTCCCCGGCCACCTGAGGGGGGGGGGGGGGGGGGGGGGGGTTTCGCTGGCGAACCCCTCGAACGCCTCAGACATTCTACCATTAGCCATAACCCAGGGTCTGGAAACATATACACAAATCAGGCCACATCGTCGAGGCGTGAATGCGAGGGAGATGAATGTTTAGTGCTCAGAATCAGCGTGGTGTAGCGTGGTCGAACATTCTGCGCAGAGGGTACTACGCTGAGGCCGAGACATGACTTATCTTGGACTGGGAAATCTCAGCTCATATCATGGACCCATACTGGACGGCCTGTCGAGTGCCCGGTAGGGCGCTGCTGATGTCTCTGTCGCATTCCTTCATCTGTCTTTCTCCTTGAACCTCGGGCTGGGGTTTTCTGAGACCCTGAGGTGCCGGCGCGATAGTTGAGGCCCAGAACAGGCACCCCGAATGTTGCCCACCCCCCCCTCCCCTTTTTTCCGTTGATGGTCTCGCGCTTGTAACATGGCAAATTTTCTATCTAAGTTTGAGGGCTGGCTAGCTTGGTTCATATCATGACTTGTCGAGTCGGATTCTGCGAAACATATTGACTCGTCCTCCACGGGTTCTTGCGTCTGCCATTTGTGCTGGGTGGTCTTTACGGCCGGTTACTGGCTTCCACGTGCTCGTCACAACCACGCTGACGAGAGTTCCAGCGGCCTGGCTCAGAGTGCCGGTATCAAGGCGAGCGGCCTTCTGCAAGCATTTTGTTTCATACGGCGAGTCCGCAAAAAAAGCAACCTCACCTTTGAATGTTATTGAGGGATTACTTTTATTGAGTTGTGCTTGCTGTAGTAATCGTTGAAAGCCCATTGAGCTTATGAGCTATATGGGTAGATGAATCAACATCGTCGGAAGCCTTATAAATTATTCACATCGCGGATGATCTTGAGAACTGTTTCCAAAATGTTGAAGAAACGGAAGCGACATTTCTGAGTGATATAAGCCTGTTGTAGTCTATCACAATCTCGCCGTTGTCAGGAAGTCTACGATAGTGTTACGTCCAGCGCGGGGCCTAGCCAGTCAAGATCAGCTTTTCTTTTCCAAGTGAAGCCATCACTCGATAAAGGCACAATGACACATGGCAGCTGGGTCTGATGGGCCAGCTTCAAAAGCTTGGCCGGCAGATATCATGCTTGAAAATGGGGACTAGGTACTGCGGCTGCAAGTCAGAAAAGATGCTTGTCTCATGACTGGAACCCCCGCCTGAACGCGGATCGGCTGGCCTCGAACGGCTCCGGAGTGGAGTCCGTCAACGCTATAGGTGATAAAGAGGGGGGTGGTAACGGTTGGTCAAATGCCGATTGCTTCGGCGGCGGCTGGAAGATTCGATTTAGTGCTGATCAGTTTGCGGCGAGCGCATCTGCTGGGTTCGTGGTCATTGGGTAATGCGCTAAGACTTATCTTATCTGAGTTGTATCAAAGGTTGAAGTCCATTTTGAGGTCACTGGATTATTGATTACATGCTTGTCCAAAGAAGCTCTTGGCTTGAACAGGACTTGCCAGCCGTGCCTGGTTCCTGCAGCAGAAGGGTTAATTGTTATGGACATTGCAAATTGAGCAACATCCATGTTGTGTATGATGTTGCAAAATGTACACCGAATCCACAAGTGCTTATTGCGTCTGCAATGCCTGACTTTCTGTTCGTGCGACATTTTCATTACCTAGCTGCATCAATGTTACCGTAGACTTTAGTTTGCTCGTGTGAAGTCGTCGCCAGTGCTATATTGTCAACATACCTTACGTAGATGCAAAGCCAAAGCCAGCGAAGACCAACTATGCTCTTCATCGACTGTGGGAATATGGCAATTTTGAAACATGAAAGTTGTTATTGATGCAGAAAGACTTTTAATGCAGCGAGAAGGAAGGGCAACGCTTGAGAGTGGCGACGGCTTCCATCTTCAGGCGCCTACATCGGTGAGTGTATTTAAACCGCAAGATAGGGCAGGCAAACACAAATCTCAAGTCTCCTAATGAACCATCTCACTTATGAAAGCCAGGAACTGATGCAATTGCATATCTCCCTCTAGCTATTCTTCCCAGTCATGACGATCGGCCTAGCATATGCCGCCTTAGGCTAACTACCCAGCTACGAAACTGGCGTCTCAATCAAAGCCAAGCTAGGGGGTTCCATTGACCCTTCACTTTATCCCAACCTTGAGCCTTGCCTATCTTATATCTCGGCGCCATGTCGTTGTCATCGCCGTTGTTCTCCGACCAATAGTCTCATCGTTTCGCACCGTAATCTTCTGAGAAGTCTAAGCTGCCACCGATGAATCACAAGATTTTTTTTAGCAAGGGTGTCTCAGTTAAAACCACCTCGAAGAGATATTCATAGAAGAGAAACATCATAAAGAGCTGGTATTTCAAGCACGGCTACCGCTTTCGCGCCTTTTCAAGCATTCAGGCCCTGCTATTGGGGATGCTAGGGTTCAAGGACGTTGTTCTCCAGAGTCGGGCAACCTGTTAATGTCTTACTCGAGGAGGATCTTTTGCGCTAGGTCATGAGGACGGAGAGAAAGAATGATGGCCATGAAAAGATCAATGGCTAACAAGGAGAAGATACTGCACTGCACTCAATCACTTGTGAATCCAAGGTGAAATTCTGCGGTTTGGTCTATTAACTGGGATTCTTTATGCTGGCAATCAAAGAGAGCCAACTGCTTGATACTACGCTGACCACATACCGCAAGGTGAGAAAGTCGTAAGCTGTCGCTGACCGGGGCGCCGCTGCATTGAACTGGTCCATTCTATGGATCGCAAATCTGTGAGGTTATAAAAGTGTTTTTAAGCACTTTTTTTCCACGCCTCATGAATAAAATACACGAGGTTAACTTTTCAAAGGCAGTCTCTTTCCCAAGTTCCTTGGCCTCGTCTAGGCTCTAATGGCCAGACGTCATTCCGTCCCAGCCGCCTGGGCCCCATTCTTGTGACTTACCATCCTACAACTGCTATGAGACCAAGAGGGGTGTTTAAGTATTCCAGATAGATGATGGTCATAATTCATTTTCTATAATGCCCGTAGCTGGTCGATGACATAAAGGAGCGGTGAAAGTTAAGTTACTTCCGTGTCTTCTGAAGTTGGTGTTCATGAGTACCGACTCTGACATCCCATGATATGGGCGTTGTGGTTAAAAGATGGACAAATGGAATCAAACCTTTGACCTAGCCAGTATCTTTAACTAACTAGAAAGCTTTACTTAAGTGCCTGAGTTTAAAGGAGGCACGAAGGAGTGAGGCCTTACACTAAAATGCAGACAACTCCCACAGAATGCAAACTCCCTCGATGGGAGCCACCAGAACCTGAATAATGTACAATCGCCGTCATTTTTAAAGCAGTGAAGAACAAGGCCCTTTCAATTTTGATTGCTCTTTCTTAACAGAAGTTGCTTTCAAAGTTGGTCACAACATTTCGGTGAGCTTCGTTCACCGACGCACACCGAAGGAGGGTTAGCGCACGGCCCACCCCGCATCGGAGCCGTTGACTCACCTTAAATTTGCAACTCACAAGCTGCGACCTGCTTTGACTCACCCGCGACAGAAAGATACCCCCTCCCCTCCCATAAAGCGCCGACCCCCCGCGATCCACTTCAACAACATGTCGCAGCAAAAGGGAAAAGCATCCGGTGCCAGTAAGGGCAAGAAGTCCGGCAAGGCCGGCGCCGAGGGCAAGCGTGAGGATGTCCTGCAGGCCGTGGTGAGTTCCCGCAAGCGTCATATGGTGGGGCAGAGCCTGGTGATGACCTCGAGATTGCTGACCACCGCGCCCGCCCATTGCAGGTCATCACCGACTCTTTCCAGGACAGATTTGCTCCATTTTCAGTCGAGAAGCCAAGAGTAAGTCGTTGATCTTGTCCGCGATCCCATGCGACGCCGACTAACCCCTCGCCCGCAGTGTCTCCTACCCCTCGCAAACACCCCTCTCATCGAATATACGCTCGAGTTCCTTGCCATGAACGGCGTCCAAGAGGTTTTCATCTACTGCGGCTCGCACTCAGAGCAGATTGAAAACTACATCAACACCTCCCGCTGGTCGCCAATGTCGATTCGCACTCCCTTCACCAGCCTGCAGTTCATCCGTGTCTCTGATGCTCGTTCTGTTGGCGACTTCCTTCGTGACCTCGACGGTCGCGGCATCATGGATGGTGACTTCATTCTTGTCCACGGTGATCTCGTCTCGAACATCTCCCTTGACGGCGCGCTGGCGGCACACAAGGCGCGCAAGGAGGCTGCTGCGACCAACATCATGACCGTGGTCCTGCGATCCGGCGGCGCGGATGAGCACAGAACGAAGCCAAATGGCATTAACCCCGTCTTCGTGATGGACTCAAAGACGAAACGCTGCTTACACTACGACGAGACGCACCCCCTCCAGAGCGACCATTACATGACCCTCGACCCGGCTGTCGTCGACGAGCTGTCAGCCGATTTCGAGATCCGCGGGGATCTGATCGATGCCGGGATCGATATCTGCACCCCCGAGGTGCTGGCGCTGTGGTCCGAGAGTTTCGACTATGAGCTCCCTAGGAGAAATTTCCTGCATGGTGTGCTGAAGGACTGGGAGTTGAACGGAAAGGCCATCTACGCGGAGGTGTTGGAGGACGGATACGCCGCACGCGCCAACAACCTTCAGATGTACGAGTCGATCAGCAAAGATGTTCTCGGCCGGTGGACTTTCCCCTTCGTCCCTGACTGCAATATCATTCCCGGACAGACATACAAGATGACAGCGGGCGCTGTCTCAATCGAAGATGGAACTGTTCTGGCGCCAGACAGCATGCACGCCAGATCCATCTTGGGCCAGGGAACCAGCGTGGGTGCCGGTAGTAAGGTGACCGACAGCATTATTGGAAGGCGGTGCACAATCGGCAAGAACGTTCGTATTGAGAACAGCTTCATCTGGGACGATACCATCGTCGAAGACGGCGCAGTAATCACGCGTGCCATCCTCGCCGACTCCAGCGTCGTGGGCAAGGGCTCTTCAGTCGCCGCCGGCTCACTTCTCTCATATGGCGTCGTTATCGGCGAGGACGTCCAAGTTCCAGAGAGCACCGCACTCGCAGTGACCACATACAACGGCAGCCCCGTCAACCCCGACAAGTCCCTCGTAGGCGCTACTGGTAAGGGCGCGCGCTACGTTGACCCCGAAGCTGAGGAAGCAGACGATGAGGACCCTTCGATCCTCCAACGCTCCCTCATCTACAACCTCGCCCACCTCAACCTCTCCACATCCTCCGTCTCTACCCTCTCTTCCGACTATGACGACTCAGACTCCGAATCCGGCATCACACCCTTCTCCGCCGACTCCCGCAACCGCCACGACTCGTTTGTCTCGGACGACTCCTCCGGTAAGGCCGGTTTCCACCACGACGCAGTCCACGGCTTGCTCGACGCCCTCCGCGCGGAGTCTGGTGATTTCGATTCCGCCAAGCTCGAATTCATGGGTCTCCGTCTCGCCAACGACGCTTCAGATGTCGCCATGCGCAAGGCCGTCGCCGTCGCCTTCGCTCGCCGCGCCGCGGAGCTTCTCGAACCTGAGAACGGCGCCCTCGAACCCACAAAGGCAGCCGAGTCGACCTTTGCCTCAAAGAAGGGCGCCGCCAAGTTCGTGTCCGAGGTCGGTGTCGGTAGCACCGAGGAGGAACAGGTCGAGTTCGTCCTCGCGCTGCAGCATGCTCTGCTCGGTGTACGAAACCTCGAGCAAAACCGTGCTGGCGTCCTGCTGGCTGCCACGCTGCAGCAGCTCTACGGTCTCGACGTACTGGAGGAAGAGGGAATCCTGGCGTGGTGGGAGGACGAACGCGCCGAGGAGGGCGAGGGTATGGGTACATTGAAGGAGAAGTGCAGAGTCCTGGTCGAGTGGCTCGAGAATGCCGAGGAGGAGGATGACGACTCTGACGAGGATGACGAGTAGGTCTTGTGCCGACAGTCAGAGGGTCCCTTGTAGCAGCAGCAGCAGCAGCAGCAGCAGCGATAGAACGCATGGTGCACGCCCCCCTTAGCTGATTAGACAGGCATAGCAACAATAGAGTAAAAAAAAAGTTCAAGTTAAAATAGTAACCCTACCTGTACCTGCAGAGACTTATTGCACAAGATTCACGGGTGCCTGCAAGATGATTAGTCTTGAATTGACTTGGACTTGCTATATTGCAAGTTACTAAGGTATCATAACAAAGCCACAGCCTCCAGACGCCAAGCTAATCCTATGAAAGATGCAAATTCCCACATCCCACTTTGTCCTTTTCCCCCTAAGAAAGCCCTCCAGTTTTTTCTGATTTAATGAGCGATTTGCCAGCTGAACATCGATTCATGCCGACTACTTGTAAGTCGCCAGGTGATGAAACTTTATACGATTGCGTAACCTGACTGAAACTTTTCTGCGCCATCACGATATAGCTGACGGAACGGCTGTCAGAAGAACATTTACGTCTAGTAGTAGTTCTGCAAGTCGCTTCCACCTGCGCCACCGCCGTATTTAGCGCCGCCACCGCCCATTGGACGGCCTTGGGGTCCAGTTGGGGCATTTGGAGGAGGTCCTGATGACCAAGCACCACCAAACGAAGCCTGGTATTGGGGTTGTTGGCCGTAGGGGCCGCCTTGCTGTTGAGGCTGCTGAGGAAGGGTTGGGTAGCTGTTGTCATCATATTCCACCGGCTGGCCGTAACCTCCCTGTTGATTGCGAGGTTCCACGTCGTCGAGGGAGCGGTAGCCGTGCATGCCGCGACCACCACGGCCACCCTTAGAACCACCTCGGCCTCTACCACCTCTGCCTCCTCCACGGTATCCTCCGCGATTTTGGTTCCGTCCCGAGTGAAAGTCACGACGCTCGTTGCGACCGTTGTAAGGGCCATGGCGATGGTCGCGCGAGTAATCACCGCCATCATGTTTCCGCTTAGATGACTTGTTGGCGAAGAGTGATTCATACTCATCTTCGCGGGGATCCTCGGGCTCGATTCGCAAAATCACCTTTTCGCCGACCGTGGTTTCAAAGGTCATAGCCTTCTCGGGAGGGATGGGTTGCCAGTTTTGGATCTTGCCGGCATCAACTGGGCGGGCGCCTTTACGGAGGGCAAGTACAACCAGAGGGGCAGGGTTGTCGGTGTGGAACTTTGCTGTGGCAGGCACAGGACGAAGACTAGCTGCCCATATGCTGTTTTCGAAGCAAGCTGTGCCTGTAACCTCCCACTTCATCTTGCTGCCCATGCCCCCGACCTTTTCGAGAATGCTCGCAGGACAAGGACGCGGGCAAATGAGAATGTTGTTCGCGTGGAATTTGAGCTCCTGCTCAGGCATTCCTGAGGGGATTTGGGCGAGCTTCATCAGACTCGCTGTATCCTCTTTGTTGATCATATAGCCTGTGAAATAGACCGTCTTCTTAATCTGAAGCCGCTGTGGACGTATATCGGCTGGTTGCTTTGCGATCTCCTCATTATGGAGGTTAATCATATGCTGCACCTCTGCAACTTCGACCACAGGGTCCAATGTTGTGGATAGATCTGCCACTTGAACGACCTCTGCCGTAATTGGACCTCGGGTGCGGGTAGCATTGAGGTTTTGTCTGCGGTTGTATTCTGTCATGAAATCTCTGAATCCTTTGACGTGTTTCGGTCGGTCTTCATAGATGCGAATCTCCTCAGCGTTTTTATACGTCTCCATCACTGCCGCCAGAAAGAGTTGCTTGAAATGCATAGTACTGCTGAAATGCTGGTTCGTTGGACTGACGGCAGGCTTGAGGCCAATCATGTCGAAATCGAGGCCTTTACTCTGGATCATCCTCTTGATGAGCTCGCCGAAGCCGCGCTCGGAGCGACCGGTCAAGAGCACGCAGAGGGCGTCTTTCTGCTTTATGCTAAGCTTGACCAGCTCAACAATCTTCTCGTTCCACCAACCCTCCCAAGCTTTTTTCTCCTCGATATCGGCGCCTTCGCCCGTCGCTGCAAGAATTCGGGAGTCGTGCCACCAGCCACCATTGCAGATGACATCCTGCGAGGAGAGCACACCAATCGTAGGGCCGCTCCATAGCGCGGGGTTCGGGAGAGGGGTTTTGAAGACTAGAGAGCAATGTAGTGTTAACGTCCAGTTGGGCAAATGACGTAGACCAAACTTAAGAAATGACTAACGGGTATTGTCAAAGTCGTAAATGTGTAGGCTCTTGATTTTGTCGACAGCTGGCAGCTGTTTCGTCGCGATGCTCCATCTGCTCAGAGCAGTGGTCGTCGCAGCAGAAGAAGAGTAGGCCGCCTTGGCGGAGCCATTGGCGTATGAGGACGTCATGACTCGGCGGGTGAATCTGGAAGCTGTCAACATTAATGTTGACCAGACTTCATGTCCAGATGGGTGGGAATTATCGAAGCGAATCGAGGTCGCACGCGTTGCCCACAAGAAAGTGACCAGGGGACAAGACTCGAGCTTTGCTGTGGGCTGCGACCGCGGCTTGTGCCAGTAGGAAGTTTTCCCAGCCGTTGGCTTGGGTGGGGCTTCTCCGTCATAACGGTGCGCAGGTGCAACCGCTGGCTCAGACCTCGAGCTCGTGATTACATAAGAATGGATTATGTAACCATCTCCATTCCGCACTTGACAAAACCTGAGAGGTTCGAACTGTCATGATGACCAGCACCGCAGCCCTGTATGGCTTCGCAGCTGTCAAAGCTTAACACCGAAGTAAGTAGAGGCTCGGGCTGGCCGGAAATCACCATATTTTTCTGCATATTTCTTCATGACGAGCAATATGTATACAGCGGTTTCGTCCACCAGTTCAGGAATGGTACGATTGCCAACTGATGATTGGGAAAAAGTAAATTAAAAGAAGATAGACCCCAAACTGGCGTAGTGCTTTGGTTTGCATTCTAAGTTCTATCCATCATTTTCGATTTAAAATGATCCTCTATTGAACAGAAAGACTTCCCGAAGAGGCCCAGTCTACTCTTAGGACACTACTCCTCTCTCTCTCAAAAGGCTGCTTGGACAAGGATGGCCTACCTTTACACTGCTTTTGAGCAGCTGCCACTCAAATCAATAAGTAACTGCGTGGGCGTCACGGGCTTAAGAGAATAAAAAACTGAATTCCCTTAGCCAAGCATTGATTCAGTCTCTCTGTATGTCTTACATAGTACATAGTGGCGGCTGACCCCTAAAACCTTCAATAGAGGGGCGCAGACAGTTCGGTCGTCTCCTGGGTCTTTCCATGAATCGACCCATGATTAAACATTTCATGAAATTTAGGGGAGCGTTATTTCCGAACTATGTTGCCCCTATCTATTTGTACTCTCCTATGCAAATGCTGAACCAACATTCACGAGTTTCGATCCCCTGAAGGGACTTGTAGTGTGGGCGAGAACCGGCACAGAACGCTCAGAATGGGAAAAGTGGTGTTGTTGGTTGAAGAACTAACTAACTGGCTAGAGGGCTGTGGAGGCTGGCTAAGACCAGTGGTGGCGGCCGTCAGCCCACGTGACGGGCCGGCGAGGCCTGCCACCCACACCCCCTCTCAGACTCCTCAGCGAAAAAGAATAATAGGAAAATACAGGAAAAGTCCCAATTCCTCCAAATCCGAGGAGTTCTCAACTATTAGAAAACTCGGTTAATTACCGGTTAAACCTAGCCAATAGGAGGCTGTGAAATCCTCCGAATCCCGAAGTCTTAATATTAATAGTCTTATAGTCTTAAAATCCCCCTCTTAATCCAATCCCTCCGCCATGCCCAACAAACGAACGAATTCCTTGTGTTTAACCGTAACTAGTAGCTTCGTAAGTCTATCGGCAGCCATATCAGCGCCCTTGATAAGTCGGAGTTCGATGCTTTTCGTAGTATAAACCTCCTATATAATCTATTTATATTAGACGTCGATATAGCAGGTTCGTACCTTGTTAAGTAGGTTTATAACGTTATCATAGCCGTTAGTACTATTAGTAAATATAATAGTAGGCATAGTAATAGGTTTGCTAAGTAGTTAGGAAAGGCAACGTCTAATCTACTTTATAATAATTATTATAAGTATAAGATTAATAAATTTAGCCTCCGTAATGCTTAAAGTTACGAAAGTCTATTTCTTTAACTTCTAAGCAATCGGCATACTAGCAAGGAAGACGATATAACTACTTATTAAGACTTATAATAGCTTATTATTAGCGAAAGAAGTATCTATAGTAGCGTAAAGCCTTAACTTATTAATCGTAAAGATGCTTCTAAGTATAATACCGAGATAAACGATACTTTTAAAGTATTAGAATAAGTACTTAATAATACGAAGATAAGCTTTAAAAAACCTTAAATTCGCTTATAATAATTTACTAACGGTATAGGCTATATCAACGCGAGTTCTAGCTATTAGGAAGTTAAGGTAGCTAGTCTATTCGATATAAAGTTACTATTCGTTAAGCAAGTACTTATTCTTATCCTAGGTAATAAGCAGATCGTTAGTATCGCTATAAGCGTCTTAACAACGCTTAAACTATTAAAGTCGAATCGTTAAAGTACTGCTTTTATATACTTAGCTTAGGAAACGAAAATCTTACCGGCAGCCCTGTCGCGTTCAATCTAGAAACCGAGAAAATCGGTAGCCTTGCCGAGGTCTTTAAGAGAATAGACCTTCTCGAGGAGACGATAAACTTCTATTATAACTTGCTTATTAGGAGTAGCGATAGCGTTATCGTCGACGTATATAAGAACGTATGCTTTAATCTTATAGTTAACGAAGAGATAAACCTCCCTATTAATAATAGTAAAGCTAATTCGTTTTATTTTACCTTTAATAAGTCGAAACTACTAAAATAGTAATTTTCTTAATCTATAAAGTGCTTTATAAAGTAGCTAAACCTTGTTGTCTATAGTAGCGTAGCTAGCGGGAGGCTGGACGTATACCTTAACCCCTTCTAGAATCGAGGCGGCTAGGAAGGTAGTATCGAAATTATATACTTCGTATTCGAGATCGAGAAGTATAATAACTACGAAGAAAAGTCGGGTAGCGGTAGCAGAGGCAACTATAGTATAAACCTCTTATAATAACTAGTTACCTTTCTTATAGTTTCTATAAACTATATATCAAGCCTTATAGCGTACGATTTCGTTGTTTTTATTAGTTTTAATATTATATACCTACTTGCTAGGCAGGACTTTAGCGTTACGTAGTAGGTAAACGACTTCGTAAACCCCTTTTTCCGTAAATTAAGTTATCTCTCGTTTAAAGGCTTGTTCCTACTAGGGCTACTATAGGCTCTTCTACGCCTTGCGGTAGGACTTCGGAATCGCTATACCGTTAGGTAGGACTTTCGAAAAGGCAATAGTAAAAAGCATGCTAAGAAAGAATTAATAAGAAGTTAGTAAAGCTAGAATATTAGTAGATAGGAAGGTCTTTTTAGCATAAGAGCGTATGCTACTAGCAGCTTAGTAGTAACTAGGTAATCGCTAGGCTAAGGCGTAATAAGGTTGAGAGGACTTTGCCGGTTGACTTATTACTTCCTTAACAATCGTAGAGAGGGAATTAAGGTCTTAGTAATTAGTTTCTATTATTTCTACGGAAGCAACGAATTCGTTATTATTTAATTCGTTAGTAATACTATTACAAGGTATAGTTATTATAGTTCTATGCGCATGCATATATAGGGGCTAAAGCCTTACTATGCATATAGGTCTCCTACCTATATATAGGTCTATAAGGCCTATTAACGTCTAGTTAGATAACATCTAGCTAGACGGCACCTTTTAGCGCAACGGTTAGGCGTGCGCCTTTTCCTGTGATATATAGTAGCATAACCTAGTTCCTCTATTATAGTAGGCATAAGGAGTTCGATTCCCTTATCACGCACGCGCGCGAGTCTGGTGATCTGCTGAGTTAGCCAGGAAAGTTCACATACGCTGTGAGATGCCCACAAGAGGGCTGCTACGTTAGCCGTCACTGTTCTCTTCCTCGTGGAGATGTCTAGGAACTTCTGATAAGCAGGAGCCAGGACCGTCTAGCCCTGACGATGCTACAAAGCCTCTATGGCTTTAGGGTGCCTTCGGGACGAGTGCCTTTCGTAAGAGGGGTACTTGTCACAGTTCTATGCGTACGCATATGTAGGGGCTAAAGCCCTACTATGCATATAGGTCTCCTACCTGTATATAGGTCTATGAGGCTTGTTAACGTCTAGTTAGATAATATCTAGCTAGACGGCACCTTTTAGTATAACGGTTAGGCGTACGCCTTTTCCTATGATAATAGTAGTAGTCTCTAATAGGTTCTCTAGTAGCGGAGATATAAGATATATATTAGTAGGTATTATCGCTTTTTTAACGATAGTCTTATCTAGTTTAGGATTACTAGTTACGGGTTTTTTACTTTTAATAAGCTTCTAATAGATAGTATACTAGATAATAATATCTAGTTTAATAAACGCAGTATTATGTTTAATTTTATTAATATTAGGTATGCTAATAGTTAGAAGCAATACTGTCTTATACGGTTCCTTACGAAATCGAACATCTCTATAGCAAATAACCTCCTTTCGATTAGGCAGGTAAACGTAGTAAATATAGCTACGAAGAGAACCGTAACCGACGAGGAATCCCTTAATTGCTTATAGTTCTATCTTAGCAAAGCGTATAGGGCGTCGAGGGCCTTTCTTATATACGTAGGCAGCATAGCTAAACGTTCGGAGATGTTTAATATAGGGAGCCTTACGTTTAGCAGCTAAGTTTAGCTCTCTCGCTATAATCTCGTAAAGGCTTAAGTTACCCTTAGAGGGTATAGGCAAGAGGTTAAGAATCTAAGTCACCGAATCGATACTATAATCCTATAGTTCCTCTAGAAGGGATATATTAATTAGCTATATCTAGGCGCTTTCGACGATAGTACGACTAGCATGCTTAATAATACCGTTTATAAAAGGCGTATAGTAATAGTCGTATTATAGTAAGTACCTTCGAAGTAGGGGTTGTTAAAAACCTTGATTAGCTCGGGAGTATTATTAGAAACCTAAACCTTAGGCTTAAGGCTAGTAAGACTATAGAATTTAGTATCCTATTTCTTAATAGCTACTAAGATAGTAGCAAACTTATAGTTAGGTAGAAAAACAACCTAGTAGTAACTACTATACTTATCTATAAGGTATAAAACCTAACGGTTCCCTTTTATTAATAAGGGAAGAATACTACGAGATTAAGGTAAATTTTATTACTAATACTTATAAGTAGAAGTAGGTAGTCTTGTTACGACCCGTTCGTTATGCCTAATAGAAGGTTAACAAACCTACCTAGGTTAGCAGTTAGAATAAGGTATTTATATATAAGATATAGGATAAGGTAATAAAAGAACCTTAGAAGGGAAAACTATTATATAGGTTACGTAGAGATAAGATAATATAATAAGCGCCTAGCTAAGGAAGTAAGCGCTTACCTTTAGCAATAAGTACTTATATATACGATAAGCGCTTATCAAGATCTATTACGCGATTATTAAGGACTTATATATAGATTAGGACTTAAGCTCTGCTTAAGACCTTTTAGATAGTTTTTTAGTAATCAACTTATAATTTATCCTTAATAACTTTTAGCTTAGCTTATAGTTTATAATATTACTACTTTATTACTTAGTATAAGACTAATTACCTTACCCTAACCCTCGATCTATTAATACGATATACCTATATATAACGTAAGACCTATTATTAATATCGTAACCTTAACTTCTATTAGTAGAAACCTTACTATTACTAGCTAGCCGTAATACTTTAATTACTCTTATTTAGTAAGTTAACCTTACGAAACTAATAAATAATACTTTCGATAAGATGTTTTATCTAGTACTAAAAACTCTTACTACTTCTCCTAACTCTTCTAAAGGAAGGCACCCGTTAAGAACCTTGCTTAGGAACTTAGAGAAGAAGAAATAAAAGACGTAGAAGAAGAATCTAAAGAAGAAGAAGATAATAGTAATAAAGAACTTTAGCGTTAGGTTTATAAGAATAACCGTAACGTTAAAAGACTTTAGGAAATATTTAATTCGAACGCTATAGTCCTTAAGCAATTCTAAGCTACTATCTAGAACCTGAAAGACGTAACTAAGAACTCCTAAACTAGAACTATACCTTATAAGGTATTACTAATATTATCTAAACCTTATAGATAGACGAAAGAAGC